CAGATAAATACAACAAAATAAAACCAGTACCAAAAAACAGAAGATTTATTCATAACACATGGGGAAAGACCCAGGGAAACCGAGTTAACCATAAAAAGCAATGAAAACCCTGAAAACCATAAATTTCACACCCAAGCCTCACCTCTCGCAGCCCAGTACCAAAAGACTCATGGACTGGTACCGGTCCGTGGCTGGTATATCGTATCGTATTGTCACAGAGTATGTAAAGAACACTGCACTAAAGGCTTTTTTCTTAATGAGTACTTTTACTTCTGGTGCTATAATTGCATTTTGGTGCCAATACTTCTTCTTAGCTCTGTCCAATATTGAGATTTGCTAAAGTGGGATAGTTACTTGTTGCACATTATCTCAAACCGCTCTTGCTGCTTTTACTTAAGTAACAGATCCAAATACTGTTCTCACCACTGCAGCTCAATGCATGCTGCAGTAAATGCTCCTGCATCTCTAACATCGGTGAACTCCCATGTCTGGCTTTTATCCTGCCAGCTGAGTCTCTCTCCAAACAATAATGCATGTCTGCAAGATGTAATCACTATACCCAAGGCTGCAATTTAAGAATATTGGCAATGACAAAACAAATGCAGCCTTTACTGCTGTATACAATAGCTCAGCAGTGTTGCCAGTGGGCCACAGGTTTATGGAGAGGAAAGGATATACAGTTATAAAACACTGTAGGTTTTTCCAGTCCAACCTCACAGTAAAACCAGCATTTAAACTGAATAAACCTTAAAATAAAACTCAGACAAATATATAATGACACCTTGTAAATTAGGAAAGTACAGTTTGAAACAGGTACACAAGACTGAGATGAGGACACATTTTGAATAATATATAAAAAGAATGCCTAGGCTATAAAACAGGTCTTTTGCAGCTTTCTACATCATCTTCTGTGACATTTAACAGGGGAGCTGCACATTGAAAGCACTGTTGTTGGTTGGAGACTGTTAAAGCTGAGGTTAGAGAGATTATGTTTAAATTCCATCATGATCACGCCTTAACACATGCAATCTGATGCTCTATTGAGATTACAGAAACAGTGAAAGGCATTATCTAAGACAGTGGTTCCCAAACGTTGTTTTTTTTTTGCTGGGCCCTCTTTGTTTTACAAGAAAAATGTTTGCAGCCCCCCCATCACCTAAACCCCCCCAACCACACACACCCATATTTTGTTTTCAAACTCCATTGAACTTTATTTCACACCTCAAACATTTAGTAAACAATTAAGCAAATACAAGTAAACTGCAATAAATTACAGGTAGCAATGAAATAAACTACTAACTCTTGTACGCTAAGTCCACACCTACATGAGTATTTTTGAAAACACAGCCGTTTCTGGGCGTTTGGGCCTTTTTGTCCACACGTAAACGGTGTTTCAAATCACCGAAAACTGAGTTGTTGTTTTTTTTAAACTCCTTTTTTGCGTTTTGTTGTGAACGAGGAATACGGAGTTTGTCCCACAACGTCAAAGGTGTGTGCCTTTTTTCACGTCACACTGTGCGCACGTTATTGTTTACATGAGATGAATTGCAGAATGGCAGATAGAGACAAAGTACTCTTAATTTGACTATCTGCAGGTTTTACATGCAGTTACTTTCCCTCCATTTA